AAAAAACAGAGAGAGCGCCCAAAAAAACAGAGAGAGTGTGTGTGTGTGTGTGTGTGTGTGTGTGTGTGTGTGTGTGTGTGTGTATGGGGTGGTTATGGGAGGGTGCCAGTGAGGGTTGTTACATAAAGATGATTAAGATTGCTTGAGATGTTCAGTATGAAATACACAAAAATTCAATAAAAATATATAAAGAAAATATGCATTAAACTCTTATGCTACCTGTACTAAAGTTTCCCTTCATTAGGAGATATTTTTAGTGATTCAGCATTGTTAAGTGACAGAATTTCCTTCCTTTACAAGTAAGCATTCCCTTTTCCAAATGAAGAATATTTCACTACAATCTTTCAAGAAATCACTTGGAATATATAATTGTCTTTAAATGATATTTTCTCTTTAGTTGATAGAGTGATTGCTTAGGATACACTACACCCTGGGTTTTAACACTAGCATCATATAAACCAAGCATGGTGGTATGCCTGCAGTACCAGTACTTGGGAGGCATATGCAGGTGGGTAAGGAGTTTGAGGTCATCCTTAGCTACATAGAGAGTTTGAGACCAGTTTGGTCTATACGAGAAGTTTTCTAAAAAATAAAACAAATCAAAAGTAAAAACAAAAACTATAAAAAAGACACAAAAAAACCCTTTCTCCTCACAAGGTTTAGATATGGCTCTTTCTTTTAAATATAGTTTCCTCAAAATTGCCTCACAGCATTACAATTATATATATTACATGCCTCTGATAATAAACTCAAATCATTTAAAAAGTACCAGTTAATTATGGAATCATCTAATGTTCCTTAAGCAAATATATATGTGCTTTATTGTAATTTGAGTTAATTGTTCAGAGATATCAGGTTTTCTGTCTTCACAATTAGATATGAATTCCTTCATCAGATTATGAGAATTATCCTTTCATTTTTAAAAATGGCTGCTAGGAGCTCGACTAGTAACCCCAAAAGTATTTACTCAGTAGTTTCTTTCCATTTTCCTAAATATTCACTAACCTGTGGTTACATTATTCATCTCTTGCTTCTTTATTTTTCACATTTGTTATAATGATTTCATTGTATCTGAGCCTTTCCCTGGACCTATTTAAGTCTTTTCTTAGCAGTTGGTAAAGAGCTGACTCCAAAAGAGGCAACTGACATATCATTGGCAGTGCTTTAATCTACAGTGATATTTTCTGTGACTTACCTCAAACACAATAATGAAAGCCAATCGAGCAGCCAGGATGTGCCAATACTGTAAGGTGAACTCATAGGGCTTGGAATTCCAAGGGGGGGCTCTGTAGTCTCGGTACCTGAATCCACAAAAACAGAGAGCATGAAAATCAGAGATCAAAACATTCTTGATTTGCTGGAACTCCAAGATGACAGTTTAAACAGGCTTATTTACGTGTAGAGGGGATGGAATGAAATGACAAAACTAAACAGGAAAGATGAAAAATTTATAGGTAAATACCTGCAATAGCCAGATTTTCCCATCCCAAGTTCACTCAGGTCAAAGAAGGATAGGCTATTGTTGACATATCCCTTTAAGCAACTGGGAGAGAAGAAAAGGATTACATGGTTAGGAAATTCAAACATTTCCAGAGTAATTCCTTCATCACAAATAGCAAGATTGTATAGACGTCATTATTCCTTACATTCTGACTATAAACTCCTACCACTCAGCTTTCTTATTTCAAGCCCTCCCATTACATATGTCAGTATCTTGTTCTGTCATTTCCTCCCCATATTTTCCCCATTAGTTTTTTATTTGGTTTGTTTCTTTAAGTGGTTTCTATTCACCATTCTGCTAGTTACTACCTACAAATTAAAACTTTGCCAGTCTTTTATACATATGCCCATACTATTTGGCTGGTTATAACTGAGCAGTAAATCAATAAACACTATTATTTATTAACTTATTTAATATATATTTATTGAAGATCTACATTTTGTTATAAAAATGCTCAGTGACTGATGTTCAATCACAAGCATAACAGGCAAAATCTTATTTGTGTGGAGCTTATGTTCTAGTGAGGATGGAGATAAATCACAATAAATATATTTTATATGTATTTTCATGAGATAGTGTAATGGGAAAGCACTATGAATACTATAATGGACTAGTAACTCAGATGGCCATGGTAGAGCAACACTTCTGTAATAACAAGAATGATATTTTAAAGTCATGGAAAACATGTGAAAATGAAAACCGGGTGAATGAAACTCGCATTGAGTAGGTCCTTCCAAGGGGTTAATAACTAATCTTTTCTTCTCCTGAAAACATTTGATAATCAAATCTGTGAGAATACTGAAGCTTGACAAGGTAGAGGAGTTTAGTAATGAGAAGCCTGAGAGCTCTGCCAGCTCTGTAGGGTCGAGTAATGCAGTAGAAGTCCCGAGGTCCTAGGTATTTTCCTCGTGGAACATTTGCTAATTCACTGAGTGCTTGGGAAGCTGGGAAAGTGGGTGAATTTCAAACTTCTAAAGAACAGAATGAAGTCTTGTAGGGTTTTACAACATTTGAGAGAAAAAGTTATGTCCTGTGTGTTCTGTTCAGAGGACAGGTCTGTCCCTAACATGTGCTAGCTATCCTCACAATATCTCATAGCTGTGTGTGATGGAAAGGAAATATTCAGACTCTCACAGGCCAGAAGTGACTCTCATGATCATGTGGAGTTGATGGTCACAATGGAAGGCATTTTCCTATCATAAAATCAGCCAGCAAACTCTACTGCATTATTGGGATAAAAGGAAACAATTTAATCATATTAATAGACAAAAAATTTTAACAGTGTATGGTGGTACACATTTGTATTCCTACAACTTGGAAACACGAAGTAGGAAGATTTTAGACTCAAAGAGCATTGGGCTGCATAATGAGATGAAGACAGTCCAAGATACATAATGATACCCTGTTTCAAAAAAAAAAAGAGTTTAAAAGATGAGAGACAACTACCATTGATGATAAGCACCCCTCCACAACCTTGGTGTGTTAAAGAAAACCTATATAAAACCTGTAGCTAATATATTTAACTGTGAAAAGCTGAATTCTGTACTTTGAAGAGTTCTTTCTTAGGAACATGGGAAACATTTTTATTCTCAGCACTTCTTTTCAAGATAGTACTTCTTTGAAAAAAAAGAATATATATATATATATATATATATATATATGGTCAGCGAGATGGCTCAGTCAGCAAAGGGACTTGTGGCATAAGCCTAGTGACCTGAGTTCAGTATTTGAAGCCTACAAAGTTGCCTTCTGACCAACATACAAATGCCATATCATGTGCACCACCCATCCCACCATCACACATGCACACACACACACACACACACACACTCACACACACACAATACTTTTTAAAGAAACAAATATAAGCTGGGCGTTGTGGCACATGTCTTTAGTCCCAGCACAGGGGAGGCAGAGGCAGGCAGATCTCTGTGAGACCAAGGCTAGCCTGGTCTACATAGCAGGTGCCAGGCCAGCGAGGGGTACAGGGAAATCCTATTTAAAAAATCAAAAGAAGAAATTAAATACATGAAATTAACATAAGGAAATAATACAAACCTATCATTTTAATGTGGAATATATGTGTATATATATATATGAAATACAAAGTAATCTGTAAATTTAATAAAGAATGAATTCAGCAAGGTCACTAGGTATATACATGGCCAACATAGAAACAACTTTCTACACACTGGTAATAAACAAACAGAAAGTGAAATTTAAAGAAAAAGCACTTATTTAGCCACCACTAATTTGTAAGTATCAGTGAAAAAAATCTAAGAAAAGTGTTTCAAATCTCTACACAGGAATGTAGCAAGACATTTCTCAGAGAATTCAGTCTATTCTGAAATAAATGGTGACAGAGAGGATGTTCAAGAACTCACAGTGAAATGCAACTTTTAAAAAGAATTTGATAAAGTGGCACATGGTTTATATGCAAATGTAGAACAAACTACATTAGCAAGTTCAATGTTGAAGTTCACAGCACTTAATGATTTAATGGAGGGCTATAGGAATTAAAACATGGGAGTCAGTGCAAGGAATGGTAAATAAATCAATGGAAAAGATGAGGTATTCAAAACAGATCTACAAATACACATTCATCTGGTTTATGGTAATAGTATCACTGCCAGCACTGACGAAACCAGTGAAGAAAGAATCTTTTTTCAACATGTTGCTGGAGAAATTAGTTATCTTTGGAGAAAGTACTGTAAGCTCTGACAGTCTCAACATAATGGGACTGGAATTAGTGAGTTAAAATTTCCAGCAATGGAGACGTTTATGGATTAAAAACTTTTAAGCAAAGGAGAAGAATTTTGAGCAAGTTCCAGGGGCAACAGAAGTCAGCACTGCTGCAAACAGGAGGGGAGGGAAATGTAGTAGGAAATGTCTCCAGGAGTGATGCTTACAGTATGGAGTCAATTGAGATTTTGGCTCTTAGAGTGAAATAAGACTATGATTTGAGCACATGAATTCCAAGATTGAACTTAAGTTGTGAACAGCATTCACAACAATGTTTCCTGACAGTGCAATCTAAAGATGACCTCCAACTGTCAAGGGCTCAGTACCTCCAAGTTATTTCTCTGCCGGCCTTTTCACTCCAATCCCACCCACACCCCAAGTCTCCCTGGCCCTCAAGAGCCAATAGCATAAAATCAAAAATCTCCACAATAACTACTTCATTTAGATGATTTCTGCTTAAAGCAAAGCATCCTTTGGAAGTATAATCAACTCCACAATAAATCCCATAAGACTTTGTACATATGAGCTTTATTGCTTTCTCAATGAAACCCATGGTACAATCCCACATTACCACCTACCACCAGGACATTTTGAGATGGTGGATGCCTGTCATTGAACTCACTGGCAAGTAGGAAAGTCAGGAGAAAATGAAACATTTTCAGATGTGTTTAGCATCTGAGTGATTTGAAGCTATTCAACAGGAGCAATTTTGTGCCTCCTACAAAAGGTGATAAAAATATTTTTATTTAAAAAAAGACCCCCAAAAATTAAAAACATAAAAATAAAAGTACAGGAAATAGGTATAATGGGTTGTGAGGGGTGTGAAAAATGTTAAGTACTCCAAAAATTTGCAGCATTTAGGGGTGCACCATTAGAGTAGGGAATTGCCATCAACTGACAGGGAGGAAGACTCAGGCTTAATTAATTAGGTTTGGCAGGAAATATAGAAATTAATTTTGGACCTGGTACATTTGATATTTATAGTACAGATAAAAGATTAGATGCTAAGTAAATGGTGGGATATTAAGATGTGTGTTCAGTAATGGTACTGAAAGCATGAAACTGAATATCATCAAGGCAATAACCACAGATGAAAAGTGCATATACTTCTTCAAGCGGTTCAAAGAGTAGGAAGCAGAGACATGAGAAGTAGCAGAAGAGACCAAGATGGTGATCAGGAGGAAGGAGGAAATGCTGGAAGTCTGGGCATTCTAGAAGCCAAGGGAATAAAATGTTTCAACTAAGTCTTCAACCATGAAACCCTACTAATAGGTCAATCACTATGAGAACTCAGAATTGATAAATGGATTTGACTCTGTGAAAACTGGTCATTACCTTGAGCAAAGTGGTAGGGCATTTGTTTTAATGAACAGAATGTAAAGGAGAAGAGATGGAAGAGAACTGGAGAAGCAAGAATAGCAGGTCATTTGAATGTATTTTGCTCAAAATGTGATACAAGAAGGTGTAAATGGCAGGCAGTTAGTAATAAGAACAAAAGCAAACTTCAATGTAAATGTGAAGGAGACAGCAGAGGTAAAATCGGTTATGTATGACAGAAAGTGAAGGAATACCACAGTGATGGTTAAGCAATGAGGAAGAGGCCAGAGTACAAGTAGAGAGATTATAGTGGGGTTTTTTTCCTGTCTTTTTTTAGAGAGGGCCTCCCTGTAGCCCCAGCTGGCCTGGAACTCACAGAGATCCACCTGCCTCTGCCTCCCACGTGCTGGGACTACTCCCGTGCGCCACCACACCCGACAATAAGAGCTCTGTCAGTTCTGGTTTTAGTAACTAGGAGAAGGCTGACTGCACAGCGTGCACACTCCAGGTTGGTAGTCGTGACAAAGGACATCTGTGCAAGCTTTTTTTTCTGATTGGCTTAGATTTTCTAGTTAAGAATATCAGGTGAAAATTAAATAAGGAAACAGTTGCCTAAGGCTTGAGGAGCAAGAAGTTATGCACATGATTTCAAAATAAAGACAAGCAGTGTTGGGCAATAAAATATTTGCTAAGTTCATTTAAGATTCATGCCTTAAACTTAAAGTGAAAGTAAACACAGAAAAGAGTAAACAAAGTAGAAAATCAAGGATGGGACTCTGTCTCATAAAACATTAAGTGGAGCAGGGACTCGCACATCTAAGAAAGTGGCAACAATTATTGACCAACTGGTTTGAAAGACGAATAGGGTATGAAAGAGGATTAAAGGAGAGACGAGGATGCATTAGCACCACTGATACCTTAGGATTCTAGGTACATTCAAAGAATTGTTGATGACAGGTTTTTATAAACTAAAAACACATATT